AAAACTTCTTGGTTGGAGACTTGGAAAATCCAAGTCACTGAGTGGGATCGGCTATATGAATCTTAGAACGCCATTGTGCTCGATCCTGTGTCATGTCCTTCGTTAGATCCAAGTACTCTAAGTCTTTTCTTAGAGTCTCTTCCAAAGTTTTCCTAGGTCTTCCTCTACCCCTTCGGCCCTGAACCTCTGTCCCATAGTCGCATCTTCTAATCGGGAGCGTCAGTAGGCCTTCTTTGCACATGTCCAAACCACCGTAACCGATTTTCTCTCATCTTTCCTTCAATTTCGGCTACTCCTACTTTACCCCGGATATCCTCATTCCTAATCTTATCCTTTCTCGTGTGCCCACACATCCAACGAAGCATCCTCATCTCCGCTACACCCATTTTGTGTACGTGTTGATGTTTCACCGCCCAACATTCTGTGCCATACAGCATTGCCGGCCTTATTGCCGTCCTATAAAATTTTCCCTTGAGCTTCAGTGGCATACGGCGGTCACACAACACGCCGGATGCACTCTTCCACTTCATCCATCCAGCTTGTATTCTATGGTTGAGATCTCCATCTAATTCTCCGTTCTTTTGCAAGATAGATCCTAGGTAACGAAAACGGTCGCTCTTTGGTATTTCTTGATCTCTGATCCTCACCCCTAACTCGTTTTGGCCTCCATTTGCACTGAACTTGCACTCCATATATTCTGTCTTTGATCGGTTTAGGCGAAGACCTTTAGATTCCAACACTTCTCTCCAAAGGTTAAGCTTTGCATTTACCCCTTCCTGAGTTTCATCTATCAACACTATATCGTCTGCGAAAAGCATACACCAAGGAATATCATCTTGAATATGTCCTGTTAACTCATCCATTACGAACGCAAAAAGGTAAGGACTTAAGGATGAGCCTTGATGTAATCCTACAGTTATGGGAAAGCTTTCGGTTTGTCCTTCATGAGTTCTTACGGCAGTCTTTGCTCCTTCATACATATCCTTTATAGCTTGGATATATGCTACTCGTACTCCTTTCTTCTCTAAAATCCTCCAAAGAATGTCTCTTGGGACCCTATCATACGCTTTTTCCAAATCTATAAAGACCATGTGTAAATCCTTTTTCCCATCTCTATATCTTTCCATCAATCTTCGTAAGAGATAGATTGCCTCCATGGTTGAGCGCCCTGGCATGAACCCGAATTGGTTGTCCGAAACCCGTGTCTCTTGCCTCAATCTATGCTCAATGACTCTCTCCCAGAGCTTCATTGTATGACTCATTAGCTTAATACCCCTATAGTTCATGCAATTTTGTACGTCGCCCTTATTCTTGTAGATAGGCACCAAAGTGCTCGTTCGCCACTCATTTGGCATCTTCTTTGAAGCAACTATGTTTCCACACAAACCAGATTGCATTCCCCCCAAACTAAGTGTCCATGTTAAAGAGACAACAGGGGAACATTCAATTTAAATACATACACAGTACAAGCATCATCGACAAATAAGTTCCTGTTTACAACAGAATCAGAGACAACTAACAGGCAATGCAGAGCATGTGTAACAGAGAAAGAGAGATTACTTTGGTACTATCATCCCAACAATAGAAAAAGGAAGGATCGATGGCACCATATTTTTGGACACCAGTTTGAACACAAATTTTAGACCATTAGATTGACCCGCAATCGATGGTTAGGATTTAGTCTGAAAGCTAATTACTTATTACAAGTTTCCCTTCACAAGAAATTATTATTACCTTTTTTAATTATATACAAAACAACAATTAAATGCACAGTAACCAATTGAGCCTTGTACACTGTGCGAGTTTCAGTGTTCAATCAAACAAAGAAAAACTCTCAATGGCTCCCCATCTTCTTTCGTTCACCATTGCAGGCCAAGGATTCATGCATTTTTCTGCAACCAACACAGAAAGCGTATGCTCTCCACCACGCAGGCACTCTGTCCTATTAGATTTTTGATTTGATCCGGGATTTTTCCTTTTCTTCGCATATGGTGAAAAAAAAAACCAATAATTTCTTTCATTTAAAAAAAAAATTGTTTATCTCCACAATCCAATAGATTCATTACTTCTTTGTTTCAGTTGTAATTTGTGTAATATTCAAACTAATAGGGTTCCACTCTTTCAACACGAGTATCATGTTTTGAAACTCATACGTGGTGTGCAGACCCTTGCAGTCTACTAAGAAACAAAAACTGCAGAAAAAATTGCTACAAGAAGATGAAAATAAACCAGCAGCCAATGCTGCAGTAAACCAAAATATAAGAATACAAAAGGACCCAATGAGGAAAAACCCCACAAAAAAAGCCTCCTATAAATCACGAAGCTAGCAGGAATCTGGGTTTTCTTTCAAACTCATGTGTGTTACAACATAGATTGGTCAGTGTGCTTTAATGTGTTGTACTTTTATGCGCAAACGGAAGCGAATTATAACAAAGTACCAAATATCAACGTCGTAAGTGAAAGCTAAAACAAACAATCTCAAACTGACACAAGAGATTTACGTGGTTCGGCGTAAAGCCTACTCCACGGGCGAAGCACGGCGAGGAATTTCACTAAACAAACGGAGATTACAAAAGAGTGTTTAAACTCTCACAATCCAAATCCCACAAATTACAAACCCTAAACCAAACGAGTAGAGAACCCAAACCTAACGGAGAAGATTCTCCCAAATTGCTCTCTAACTCACAAATTGACTCTCACCAAATTGCCACACGAATGAGCAACACAAAATACAATAACCCTAAGGTCCTATTTATAGTGCATAGGACTTAGGTTACAATAGGAATCCTAATAGGAAATAAATCCAAATCCTAATCAAATAGGTAATTAACAAAATCTCTCCACCAAGGAAATTAACTAAGAAGTCAAAACCAAACCCAAATAGGACACCAAAACCAAATAGGTAACACAAACCTAATTTATTGCATCATCCTAATTTTGAGCCAAAAACCCAACAATCTCCACCTCGGCGAGAAATTAGCAAACTTCCAAATTTTGGGATACCAAAATACAAACGCAAACGTGCACCAAATTCTTTCGAAACTGATCTCCACCTAGACTCAAAAAATCCAAAAGTCTTCAAACTTGAAATTTCCTCCAACGCCTTCTCCAACAAATTCCATTATGGAAACTAACAAATACGAAACAAAATCCAAGTAAAAGCTTGAACATACGAACAAAAAGTGCGAATTGCACTCCACCCAAAGAGCTTGAGTACCAAGCTCCACCTCTTCACATAACCTTTAGAGGAGTTCAGAACAACAATCTTCTGCAATGTTTGCATCAACACTAGCAAAAGATTTATCAAACAACTTCTTTTTGCCCTTGAGTTTAGGGCAATCTACTTTCCAATGACCATCCTTATAACAATAGCTACAAGTGTTCTTTCCAAGTTTGCTCCTTTCCTTATTCCTTCCTTGAACTACCAAAGCTCCATCTTGTGTGTCAAACATTTTATTCTTTAGCTCTTTAAAATTCAAAGGGACTTTAACATCTTCCAAACTAAGACTTTCTCTACCAAATAGCATGGTATCGACAAAGTGTTCATATGAAGGAGATAAAGAACACAACAAAGTTATCGCATAATCCTCATCACTAATTTGGTTGTCCACACTTTTCAAATCCATCATAAGTTTATTGAATTCATCAACATGCTTATGAATTGACGTACCTTTATCCATACGAAGAGTATGCAAACTTTTCTTCAAATACAACCGTTTAGCAAGGGATTTGGTCATATACAAGCTCTCCAATTTTATCCACAACTCAGGTGCAGATTTGATGCTACCAACTTCACGCAAGACTTCATTCGATAAAGTCAGCAGGATTGCTCCAAGTGCCCGTTCCATAATGTCTTCTTTTTCTTCATCAGTCCACGAATCCGGCAAAGCCTTCACACCCTTTAGCGTTTTCAAAAGCCCTTGTTGAACTAACAAAGCATGCATCTTCAATTGCCAAATACCAAAGTCATTGCGTCGAACTTTTCAATATCAACTTTCACCAACGACACAGAAGGCTTCATAGTGACAGCCAAACAAAGCCCAAGCCTAAACCTGGGCTCTGATACCACTTGTTGTACTTTTATGCGCAAATGGAAGCGAATTATAACAAAGTACCAAATATCAACGTCGTAAGTGAAAGCTAAAACAAACAATCTCAAACTGACACAAGAGATTTACGTGGTTCGGCGTAAAGCCTACTCCACGGGCGAAGCACGGCGAAGAATTTCACTAAACAAACGGAGATTACAAAAGAGTGTTTAAACTCTCACAACCCAAATCCCACAAATTACAAACCCTAAACCAAACGAGTAGAGAACCCAATCCTAACGGAGAAGATTCTCCCAAATTGTTCTCTAACTCACAAATTGACTCTCACCAAATTGCCACACGAATGAGCCACACAAAATACACTAACCCTAAGGTCCTATTTATAGTGCATAGGACTTAGGTTACAATAGGAATCCTAATAGGAAATAAATCCAAATCCTAATCAAATAGGTAATTAACAAAATCTCTCCACCAAGGAAACTAACTAAGAAGTCAAAACCAAACCCAAATAGGACACCAAAACCAAATAGGTAACACAAACCTAATTTATTGCATCATCCTAATTTTGAGCCAAAAAACCCAACATAATAGTCTGGGTGGAGGAATGGAGAAAGACTGTATTGTTTAAAGTTTTAAACCTTAATGCTCACTTAGATTGGTCAGTGTGCAATTAATTATTAATTGGTAATAATATTAATTTTTTGATAAAATTGATTGAAGAAAGTAATAATAATCAATTAGGTTTCAGATTAACTCCTAACCGTTGCTTGTGGGCTAATCTAATGGTTTAAAAAATTGTGTCTAAACTTGTGTCTAAAATGTGGTGCCATAGATACTTCCCCGCATAAAAATTAAATAAATCTAACATGTGAAACTACAGATACCAAGCCCATAGTCATTTTTACAGCACAAATCAAAAGAGAATGCAAAAATACTTCATTAAAATCTTACAAGTGGAGGTGTTCCTTGAGCAATTTGCTGGACAGCTGAAGACCACTGTGCACTCCACATGTATGGGCCACCCACAGCTTGAAGTGGAATAGTACCCATGCTTCCTACACTATTGAGTGACGTGGAAAGTGACTTTGCAGGTTGCTGAGCATTCTGTATGGGAGGTGCTAAGCCAAAAAGAGCAACATAGAACCACAGGTTGCGAAATAACTTTAAAAGTGAAGGCTCCACATCTACTGTAGGATCAAAATCAGAACATATCTCAGCTACAGCAAGAAGTAGTGGTCCCAAAAAATCTCCTCCACTCCTGCAATAGTTAGATATTAGATAAAATTTTGAAACACATAAGCAATGAGAAATGGAAATATTTTGAAAAAGTATCAGAAAACCAAAACCTGTGAGGTGCACAAGTTGTCATGAATTAAATGAGAATTATATGGAAAACACTACGGCATGCAATCAGCAGCTATATTATTTGAAAGGAACTCTACCTTCCGCTTTTGGATTCAGCAGCGAGGCCTACATCTGAGCATAAAGACAGTAGACGGTGACGATAGTCTGAACGTAATTTAGCATTTGTAAGATCACTAGCAATCAGAAGAAATCCTGCAGGAAGAGTCTAGAATGTGATTGAACCAGTGAGAATCGGTTTATAGTATCAATCAAGCAATCAACAGTATCATGTGTAGCTTTGCTTAAGTATACAGACCTCAAGGCGCTCTGTTGTGGCTTCTGGTGGCACAGTTTTGCTTTCAGCAGATCCTAAACTTGAAAGTTTACTTAAGTAACTCCTTGTCATTAGAACAACAGTCTCCCGGTAGGACTTCTCAAAACCTAAACTTGCCATGCGTGATACAGCATCAAGGAGCTGTTGTACAGTATAATAAGGAAGTGAGAAACCAAATATTTAAGCAATATCTTACATTTTTGCTGGATAATATTAAATTTAATCAAAGTTACTTGACAAAAATGTTTAAAGAAAAACCTATATCATAAAATACATGCCATAAAGACACAGATACCATACCCGGAGTCGCAATAAACTAGGACTCGAAGCATCGCCCTCTTCTAAGCTTTCAATAAATAGAGGTAATATCATGTCCACAACTTCAGACTTCTTCACAGCAACATTCAGATCGGCTAGCAAGCGTATAACATTAAGCTGCACAACAGGAAGTGCCTCTTTATCTTTATCAACCTGAAATTAGCAAGATAATATAAGAATTAGATTAAGTCAAGATAGATAAACAGAAAAAAAAAAAAAAAAATAGAAGATATTCATTACTTATATGGCATCACGGTTTGGCATGATAAGAAAAGGCTTAGTGTGCCAATCTTTCGAATAGAACCGAAAACTTTGTATTAAGCAAAATTCTTTCTTGCAGGAAGTACATACAAGAAAGGAAGAAACAATAAATTTTGTTGAAAAGTATATAGTACAAGCATAATCACAAACACAAAAGCATGTGTAAATCTAGCATTTAGAGAATCTAGAGATATAAATTAAAAGAAAGACAAAACAATACAGTCAGATGAAAGTAACTGTTCATATATGCATTACACGTGTAAATCTGTTAATTAGTATCTTGTATGCAACAACAAACCTGTTCCTCATAGTCATTTCGTTCACGAATACTTGTCGCTAATCCCATTATGAATGTGTCAACCGGCGCACGCTCCTTAGTCCAACAAGATTCAATTATCTCACAACTCGTCTTCATCACACTCTCAAACATTGGTGCCTGGCTGGTTGCCCAAGTATCAGCCTGAAAAATCACATTGTAGAAAAGCAAAAGCAAATAAAGTAAAATTCCGTTTCACACTTCAGAATGATATCTAAAATTTAGCACCACTTAAAATATGTACCTGTGCGCATACAGTTAACACAACAGGTTTGAGGCGGATGAGCAAAATACGTAATGCCTGGCCCCCACGCTTGACAGCAATTTGAGCAAGCCCAGATAGCAAAGAAGCAAAGAGCTCTTCACAAACTCTCATTTTCCGCCACACGGAGAGTAAACAGGCTTCAGAAGCATCCATCAACAATGCCAGACTCTCATGTGCCAACTTCTTTGCTGATTTCACGTCAGTATCATAGCAAGCCAGGCAACTAAGAGTCAACTTGGCAGCAGCTTGATAAACTGACAGTTTCGTATTGATTCTTGCTTTCAAAAGTGCCCCATGTTCAGTCCAATCCCGCTTTCTAATCTGCCCACATGTAACAAATGACAAAAACAACAAACTCAATTCTAGGCTTTCACATGAACAGCACTCTAAAGCAGTAACTTTTCAAATAAACAATAAGACCTTACCTTCAGAAACACTGACGTAGACTGTAGCTGCCTCTTTGCGATTAATCTGACCCGATCCAAAAGCGCAGAATCGATACTGACTTTATCCAAAATATGAGCTACCAATTTGAAAGCAATCTCTTGCTTCTCCAAATTCTCAACAGACTCTTCCTCAAATGAAGAAACTTGCTGCCTAAGCATCACAGCTCCGCCTCCCTCACCAAGACCGAAATTCACACCCAGTTGATCAACACCACTCTTCCACACAATGCTGCTCCCATTCATCATCACCGACCCCCTTGACGATATACTACCCGATGAACCCGACACATTGCTCGCCTCATTTCTGGGGCTGGAGCTCTCATTCGCTTGGTAATGGTTTCCATTCATTGGGGAGCTCTGCGCAGACGAGGTCTCTGAGTTGGCCCCAATTCGTCTTGGCGTAACCGGGGACTGAACCACCGGTCCCGAAGCCGCAAACTGGTCAATAAGCATTGTAATCAACTTCTCGGCATCCGAAGGCAAAATTGGAAGGAAATGTTCTGATAGGGCCATGAGGAAAGCCCGACAAATACCTAAATCTTCGCCGCCACTGGTAATTGCCAAAACTACAACCTCACCAGTGAACCCAACAATCTCTGTAGCAAAATCGGGAGACAATTCGGTAGCTTTACACACGTACCCCAAAAAATCCAAGAAGAAAGAAGCAATCGAGTCGTTTCCAAACGATTGGGGCCAAAACGACCGATTGAACGACGCGGGAACCGAGCGTAGGAACTCGAGAACCACCGATTTCGGGCGGAGATCAGCAGAATCGGGGCATTTGGACATGAAGCGCGCGACGGCGAGGACAGCATTGAGCTGAATCTGCGAAACCCTAGGTGATCCGCCCAGAAAAATCTCGGGAGGCGGACACCGGCCACAAATCCACGAAAGCTTCTGGGTGAATTGCGCCGGGTGGTCCGCAATCAGGTCGCAGAGCTCCATCAATGCCTCCATTGCGAACGAATCCGATAACAAAAATCCAAATCCGAAGAAACTCAAACTCGGTGTCGATTTCGATTCCGCTTGAACAACGCGAAAAGCTCCTCAGGTTTCCCGCCTCGGAGCTGGATTGGAAGGTTCCATAGGAGTACAATGCAGGAGAGTGAAAGAGGAAATTAGGGTTTTTTGGCAGAAGAAAACAACATTTTTGTTGCAGTCGTCTTTGTCTTTGTAAACGTTTCTGGAAATGTCCGCCTTTTTTTGCAATTGTGCTTCCTCTGTTTTTGATTTCTGTTTTTTTTCTGTAAATTCAAATCCTTGTATTTTTTCTTCAGATTATGTTTTTGGTTTCTTTTGGGGGTCCTCTCTCTCAAAATTTCTCTCCGTCATCACCAAAACTTACGGTTGCTAGTTAGTAGTTCCTACGCGAGCGAGTTGAGTCGGTGAGTTACAACTAGGCACGTGATGTGGACTCTTGGCTAATTTTTCCTTTATCAATAACATCTCCAAATGAGATGTTAAAAAGTCCTTGCAAGTAATAATTGTGGCGCTAAAAATAATCGAAAAACATATGAAGGCAACACGTAGATTCTTGGGTAAAAAAGTCAAATCATACGCGCAAGCAACGAACAATCATGACTCAATCAAGATCAAAAGTGATCAAAATAGATATTTATTCAAAACCTATTTCATCCATCCTCATCAAATTCTCCCCACAAGGTAACCTCCAAAATATTTATTCAAATAGGATTAATTACCTAAATTAATTGATTAATTTCCTAATTGATTGCAAGATATTATTTTGACATAATATCTTGCAATTACACCCAAAAACCAGCATATGTGGCCGCTTCCCATCTCTCCAAAAACCTAAGTCCATTCTCCTCCCAAAATTCTCTAAACATTTTATCTCTTAAATTATAACTTCGGTATTGGAGGTTTTTCGGCCAAAGCCAAAGCCCCATTTTCCAGAAATTTGCATCATTGGTGGATTTTGAGCTCATGCATCCAAGCTTCATTCAGATTTTTTACGGCTTAAAAAAAAAGACAATGAAAATTTAGGTATTAATTGTTTTGGCAGGTTCATTTTTACGTCCAACCGAAAAAGCCAAGGCAGAAAGTGTTGCATCCACTTAATTAGCCTAGTGCTTTCATTCAGATTTTGATTCACACGCTCGAAGAAGACTCTCGCATCCAAGGTTTTCCATTTCTTGTTCATTCACAGATTTTTCGTACGTTCTTATTCCAATAGAATTTTCCATTATAAAAATTCCTTCTGAATAAATCAGTCTTAATGAAAAAAAGTACAATGACAAATGACAAGTCTCAAAAACGACCCGGAGCACAATGAGAGCAATTAGGAAGCTCAATCGCTCAACCGCCTGCTAGGAACGTACCATATACAGCTGCGGCATAAACAAACCGAACATATAGAAAATCAACCGAGACCAACATGTCAAGACCCGGGGCAGCTGAGAGCTCTGCCACCCCCCAACAATGGCAAATTCAAGAAGAAGTAGAGAGGCTCTTGATCGAACGATTACGTGATTTCCAGCCCAATAAAGCTACTGATGAGGCACTCCGATGAGACATAACCAACATAAGTATGTCACCATTCATTAACAAGATCGAGCAGACGAGACTATCCCACATAAATTGTCGAATACAAAGATTACTTTTGTTTCAACAAAGGTAGCAACTCAACCTAATGGCTCGCTGAGGGCAGACGAGTACTAGAAGGACACACTAGCCTAACTACCAAGAACTGAAGGCAGGCCTTACTCTCAACACTCTAGACGATTCAATACTGAAGAAGCACATCACTAGTAGTCGAGCTCTACCAACTTGGTGCCAACAACCTCACTGCAAGCACGACGGCTTGTAATGCATACAGCCGTGTCCACCAGCCTCGTCATGCCACCTCTCACACGGTCTCTCAGGCCCGAGCATCAATGAAGGCTAAAGGCAATGCAAAAAGAAAAAGCCAAGCTTACAATCCATTCAGATTCTCAGCTGATCACCAACCAAGCCTCATAAAGGCACATGAAGAAATATCTAACGATGGCACAATACTTGAAGAAAGTTCGGGAGTAGCTCGATGCACTTCCCACTTACACCTTTACACGGGTTCCACAAACAGTTTAAAGTCTAAAGCAGATCTCCAAACAAGACTTACAAGCTGAAGATTATTTTAGTTGTCCAACTTTCCTCAGTTGTACACAAAACAACGACTTCCATGCTCTTCAATGCGAGAGGGTAAACTAATCCCCTAACACTCATATGGGTCTGCTCTCCAGTACGAGAGAATAAACTAATTGTTCTTTAGTACGAAAGGGTAAACCAATTTCCCGACATCCATATGGGTCTGCTCTCTAGTGCGAGCGGGTAAACCAATTCCCCAACACCTATATAGGTAAGCTCTCTAGTGCGAGAGGGTAAACTAATTCCCTGACACCCATCTGGGTAAGCTCTCCAATGCGAAAAAACCACATAGCTCAAAAGCTCGAATGATTGAAGACCAACTAGGCAACGAATGGTCAAGGGATAACAACCATTTTGCACTCAACAGTTCGCTCATCTGACACTTTATCTTCAGCAGCGCCGATCTTGGCGGCTCCATCTACGATAATTGAGAATTCAAACTCAAGTAGTTTCCTCATTTTTGGCAAGTAGCCCAAACGAGGTAGCCCAAACTGTGGCCCATGCCACGCCACTTCCTTAGCCCATGCTGAGCCAATTCTTGGCTTCAGTCAAGTCGAGCAGCACAAGCAATGGCCCTTTTTACACCACCTCCTTGGCCCATGCCAAGCCGACTCCTAGCCCTTGTCAGTCGATGTGCCACACCACCCTGACAGCTGCCCCGTGGCAGCACCACCCAAGAAGAAGACAAGGAGAATTAAGTTTTTCTTACATCAATGAGGCATAGACAAGACAAAGAAATCAACGGAAGACGGTTCTTTGCACACGCAAGCAAAAAAGAGTGCTAGGAGAAAGGGAACAAATATCCTCTAGTTTTCTCTCTTTCTTGTAGGGATAAATAATTACCCTCCGAAGTTGATTTAATCCCCTACTTAAGGTAGGCTTAAATAGGCTTTGGAGGTGATTTATTTCCCTTTCCTATAAGAATCTAATTCCAAGTCCAAGTGAGACTTTGCATTAAAGTTGGAGATCTTTACACCTCATTCCCTTTCCTGCGAGCAGCCCAGCAGGTGTGGGGGCATTTGTGGAGCCAAAAATAATATAGAAAAATATGGAGGTGACACGTGGATTCTTGGGTGAAAATGACAAAATTACCCTCGAGGTATACTAGAACTCCAGCAGACAATCATGACTCAATCAAGGTCAAAAGTGATCAAAATAGGTATTTATTCAAAACTTATTTCATCCATCCTCATCAAATTCATCCATCCTCATCAAATTCTCCCCACAAGGTAACCTCCAAAATATTTATTCAAAATAGGATTAATTACCTAAATTAATTGATTAATTTCCTAATTAATTAATTAATTTCCTAATTGATTGCAAGATATTATTTTGACATATATCTTGCAATTACACCCAAAAATCAGCATATGTGGCTGGTTCCCATCTCTCCAAAGGGGGTCGGCCACACCCTATAAATACCATCTCATTTCTCCAAAAAACTAAGTCCATTCTCCCAAAATTCTCTAAACACTTTCTCTCTCAATTTCTAACTTTGGCATCGGAGGTTCTTAGGCCAAGCCCCCCCCCAATTCATCATGGGTGCGTTAGGCCCTTGGCCTTGACCTTAGGTGTTAATTGTTTTGCAGGTGCATTTTCGTCCAAGAAGAAGACGGAAATTTGCATCCACAATAATGGTAGAAAAAGATAACACTTGTGTTTTTCACCAAAAAATCTAATTCATATGTGACATGACATAGAATATCAGCAAAAATAATTGCTGTCAAATTTGACAGCAGTTTCAAATAATTTTTAATTAATTTTTTATTGAACAAAATTTTAATTAATTTTTAAATACTTTTTATTCATTTTTTTTATTAGTTTAAAGCATTGCATTTTCATTTCCTTTCATTACCAATGTAATGCTTAAATATTTTTATACCTTTTAGTTTATATTCTTTGCATTTTAATGAAAGGAAAACAAGTATGAATTTTTATTTTATATCAAAAATTTGACATATCGAGCGGAGAGTAAAATTTTAAAAATTTCAAAGTGACACGTAGAATACTAAAAATTCATATACATTGTTAAAAATGAAATACTCAAACTAAGGTATAAAGTGGAGCATGCTACTCGACTAGATCTCGTTTATGTCAAAATAGAGTTGGGCATTTAGATTTGGAGTCGACTATGAGATTCTGAGAGCTCAAGGCAAGAAACCAGGAAAAGGCTCTTAGGTCCTTAAGCACTCTAATATGTTGTATATAGGGCTTTTTTTCATTTTTTTTTTAGTTACCAGATATCTCACTCCCCTTACGAGTGCCTTTTAATTAATTGAAAAAATGCCTTTCATTTGTTAGTTTTCAGAACTTCAATTACAATTTACAAGTCAACCTCACAATACCAAAGTACGAAAGAAACTAAGACCAAATTTGTTAATGGGTTCTTAACGTATGACCCAATAACGACCTAACTCATCAACGTGCTAACTTGAAATTTGTCATTTTTGTGTCGGATTAACGATTAAGCTCCACATTCAAACAAGAGCTCATTTGACTAATTACAACTTACATGCTCAGCAGATATTTACATTTGTTAGTTTAGGAGAAGATTATTGCCCAATAAACATGTAGATTAAAGTAAGAATATATTTAGTTAATTTACAGTACAAATTTTTCATCCCAAAGAAAAAGTACCGAATTCAACCTTCACCAATAAAATACATTAAGCAAATGTGAATTTTTAACTATTTTGACTATATAAATAAGTTTTCATCCTAATTTCATAAGTTTCTCGGTAAACAAAAAAGGCAAAAATATATAATCACAAGCTGATTCAACTATTAACAAAAAGTTACAAAAATCAACTCAAATATATGTAAAAATGATAGAGAAATCTCACAAATCTTAGAGGTATTGAGGCCGCACAATTGGTTTCATTAGAGATGGACCACTCTGAGAGAGATGGAGAGATTTCCAAGGGGTTACAAAGATGGGGAATTAATGTTGGGAGAAATTTTAAGCGTGGAGAATGGAAGATAAAAAAACAGTGTGCAGACTCACCGATTTGTGTAAATCCTCATGTTTATTTTCCAGAATGCCATGAAGAAATCAAACTGAAAAAAGTGTTGAGGAAGGGGTCTGTATGGATGATGAGTTATCATCTGGTGGTTGAGAATTATCATTGTTAAGATGTGCACATATATTGTCGCAGTGGAGAATTCACATTATTATGTTTTTAACCATGTTTTTGTAAC